TTGTGGAACTCTCCAGAACAGGCGAATGAGTGGGAGAGGAAGGAGGCTGGAGGGGACTTTTGCTTGGGGGCCTGGAGCGAGCTACTGCTCATGGGGTGGAGATACGCTGAGCGCGACCACGCGGGTGGTGACCGCACCGTCAGCCTAGTCAGCGCCGCTACTTGCTCACAGAACAGGCTTGGACCCGGCACATTTTTGTTGTCTTTCTTTTTGCCATAAGAATGAAAATCCCTCAAAGTATATTCCGGGGAAGCCTTTGAGGGTGGAAAGAGGCGGGTCACCGCGCCACCACCCCCTAAAAAAGTCTCAGGAACTCCGTGCCTTTGGTAGCTGCCTCTTTGAAATGACTTTTCTGCCCCCCCTTTTTTTAAAGCCACACCTTCATATTTAGGGCGGTTTGGAAAAAAACAAAAACAACTTCTGAGCCGTTAAATGCAACCTCCACCCTCTTTCTCTCTGATAGCTGCTTCTCCCCGTAGCTTTTCCTGTGGTCCGCACTCAGTGTTACGGAAACCTCACTCAGAATAATTTGTCTCCCTTCAGCCGAAACCCAGTAGGAAAGAGCCGGGTTCCAAAGGAGCCGTCTTGGGAAATCTGAAGGGTTGAAATGCAGGATATGGGAACCACCGGGCTTTGGGGTCCAAGCACAGTGACATACTCCCTGTGGCTGGGGAGCCACTTGCACCTGGGCAGCCCCGGGCTAAGATGTCCTCAAGACGGGACCCCCCGGGCTCTGCATTTGGGGTCTCAGCGTGCTGGCAGCTCTACCCTATACGAACTCTGGACGACACTGGAGCCTGCTGGTCAAGCCTCCTATCCTGCCCACCTACCAGGGTCCAGCAGGGAGGGGCAGGGCCTTGGCGCCCCTCTGCTACTTTGTGCTTCTCCCCAGGCCCGCTGTGGCCCTGCCCCTGGTTGTGCTCATAGAGGGCCCATCACCCCTGGGGGTGGGCGGGAATGTTCTGGAAATGGCTGAAGCACCCTGGGCTCCCTCATCTCCCAGACAACCCAGAGCCACTCATTCAAGACCAAGCTCCCAAGTCCCTACCCCGGCACTGCAGTGTCAACAAGGCCTGGCATTTCCTGAGTGCCGGGCGCCCAAGAGTCCCAGGCTGGCCAGTGTTTCATAAAGGATGTGTTAGTTTCTGCCACAGTGTTGCGAGCTGTGGCCTGGTGTCCCGCCTCTTAAACTATGAGCAGGGACCAGCCAGGATCCCAGCAACCTCTGAGCAGGCAGATGGTGGCAACTGAGCAGTGGTGTTTGAAGAAACTCAGTAAAGGACCACTATCCATAGGCCTGAGGGTGGAGGATCTGCGAGGTGGGGTGGAGTCTGCTCCAGCCTCTCTTGCTTGACCCTGCCAGGCCCACTGCTCCCTGCCAGATCTCCCAGCTGTGGTTGGTCTTGGGGCTCAGTAGATGTCTGGAGCTGAAGCCTCTACCTACCTTATGGCCTCCTTACCCTTCATTCCTTGTCTCTGCTCCATCCTTGCTCACATCCACACCCTGAATGCCCTGTGGCCAGACTCACCCTTGGGGTGAGTGCTTGGTTACTTAGCTGAGATAGTGCCTGTAGCCCTGCCTCTCTGTGCCTCAGTTTCCCTGTGGGTAGAATGGAGATGCTGACAGATCTTTCCCAAGGCTGCAGCTGGAGGTGGAGGAGGGGCAGCAGGGGTGGTCCTGCGGCACAGAGCATGTGTGAAGGAGCCCAAAGAGGGCAGCTGTGTCACCCTGAGCAGGGCACCTGGGACACAGTGACACATGCTAGACATCTGCCGTGGGTCTGGGCATGGCAGCACACACGCAAGGTCCCAGAGCATGCCGTGCAGGGTCTGAGAATGCTCCCTGGAGCCACGTCTCTAAAGCATGGCTGGGTGGTGGGGCACAGGGTCCTGCACTGAGATCTGGCATCTCGGCACCCTGTGCGGAGTGGAACTTTGTGCGTCTGTGTGTCTGCGCCGGTCCGCAGAGGTTGAGCGTGCTTGCGTGTGGGTGGGCAGGGCCTCCGTCGTCACGGCTGACCGTGCCTCTCTCGTGTCCTCTCTTTCAGCCCCCACCTTCTGACCCGTTCACCTCCCCCTTCGGAGGAGCAGGATTCTCAGAGGACCCCTTTAAAAGTAAACAGGACACCCCCGCTCTGCCTCCGAAGAAGCCCGCTCCTCCTCGGCCCCACCCACCCAGCGGTCAGTACGCGCGCTCCCTCCCCATCCCCCACCCGCTGCCGACCCCAGAGCGAGAGTGGACTCACTGGAGCTGCGAGCTGTGCACAGTGAGAGGGACCCATGTCCATGCTCCACGCCCTGACCTGCCCGGCCTGTTCTCGGGGACAGAGCAGTGGTGTGGTGTGGGCTGCAGGCCCTCTCGGAGCTGGGAGGGCTCCCGTCAGGGCCGGCTATACCCCCACTGTCTGCACTCCCGTGGCCCCCTCCACTGGCCCCTTCCTGAGTCAGCAAGGCACTGAGGGGAGTGAGTCCTTTGCTCTGACCACATGGGACAGAGCGTGATGGGGAGTGGGGGTGGCTCAGAGAACGTGGGGTGGTGGCCCTCTGTGCACCTCAACTCCCCCTCGACATTCCCCGGAGAGTCCAAGGACCTTCTCTGGACATGGGTTTTAGACAGATCCCCTGCACGAGCGGAGGCAGCTGGTGTTTGAGTGTGGTCGATTCTAATGCAGGGAACTTTGGCCACCCAGACAGAGGGTCCCTCGGGGCCCAGCCATGCTGTCCATCCCATCCTCTGTTTTACCAGGACACAGCCTGGCTGGTGTCCTGCTGTCCTCTTGTTTCTAGCCTGTCTCTCACCCAAACTGTCCCAGATGGTGGTGGCCACTTGCTCCCATGGAGCCAGTCCCCTGTGACTCCACTCCTCTGTGGCTGTGGGACTGGAAGCCCTTCTAGAAGGCTCCATGTGCACCCAGCCAGCTGATGACAAGTAGCGATTAAGCCAAAGCCAGCTGGTCATCCCCATGGGGGCCACACCTCAGCAGAGACTCGCCTCTGTCAGTCACCCTTCTAGCAGAGCACTCAGGAGACAGCATGGGGCACCCCCTTGGGTGTGTACCCCTCCCTTGCAGGGAGCAGGATCCCGCCAGCCACACATCAAAGGTGTTTACTTTGTAAACTGGGGAGCAACCACAGCAGAGGGCTCCTGGATCCCTGAGGCCTCCCAAGGGCCTGCCTCAGCCCTCTCCCTGCCCAGCAACACATGACTGCACACATACACATGTTCATGCTTAAGTGGCAGTATGTACTCATGAGTGTACACGTGCACAAATGCACGCATTCGCAAGGCAAGCAGCCATGTGTGCGTGCCAAGTTGCACACCTGTGTGCGTGCACACGGTCACATGCTTATGTGTATGCATGCCTTACACGTGTACTCCCAGGTGCATTCTTGTCTATGCCCCTGAGCACTGATGCACGTGGCACACACAGGTACACATCTGCACACGCTTTCTGTCCTTAAGGAGAGGAACCAGCCACACTTGCAGCCGCAGGACAGGGCTGCTTCCCGGTTCCTCCCCCTCTTGGAAGTGCCCTCTTCCCCAGCTCCTCACCTGTCCTCTCCTTGTCCCCTGTGTCCCCTGCAGCACCTCCCCATGTGAGGAAGCATGCTCAGCAGCAGGAGGTGGCCAGGTCTGGCCTGGAGGCTCTCTCGCCCTGGCTCCGTGAGCTACAGCATCCGAGCGTGCCTGGGCTCGGGCCTGTGCCTGTGCAGGGCTGTGGGTGGTGGCAGTGGTGGTGTGCCGGTCTCAGGGATCTCTTTTGGTCTCTGTTTCCAGAAGCAGTGGCAGTAGGACAGAGAAGCACCGCACTGTACTCAGTGTTGGGCGGTAGGTCCGAGGGCAGGCCCTGCGCCTGCGTGGCTGTCAGCTGCTCCGCGACCACTAACAGCTCCTGGCCTCTGCCGCCCTAACCCTGCTGCCGCTGCTGGCTGGCCTTTGTGGGAATGCCGCCTGCTGGAGTGAGGAAGGTGTCTGCCTGCCTGTGCATGCCTCGGTCCAGGCTCGCCCTGCCTGTGGGCAGAAACCCTGCTCTGCAAGGGGGGGCAGCCTGTACGCGGTGGTGTCCACATTTGTTTTGGAAGCGTCGGACCCGACTCACGGCAGCCAGTCTTAGCTGCCCAGCGTGTGCTCGCTCTGCGCGGCCTTGGTGATTGTTGGTGTGTTGGTTCCACTGAGTCCGTCCATCTCAGGAGGGCGCTCTCGCCTCCGCTGGCCCTGCACTTGACCAGGGTGATGCCTCACCCAGCGGGCGGCCCCTCCCACTCAAGAGCCAGGTGTTGTTCTGGGATCATAGGGTTTTGTGGGCTCGTTTCCTGAAGTTCATTGCCAGGCCTCTCTTCACAGGCCTCTCTTCACAGACAGTTTGGAAACTCTGCCGGAACCTGCCCACCCTGGGGGACCCTGTTGGCACTGGAATAGTGGTGGCATAGCTCCCAGCTGCCTGTAAGCAACCGCAGCAGGACACATTGTCACTGCGAGGTGGTAGGAAGCCACCAGTGTCCAGACCTCACACAGTGACTGCTCCTCTAGTGCCCCTACAGGAGGCCCACAGGCCAAGGGGGCCAGGCAGGGGCTCAGCCAGTAGCAACTTGGCCGGAGCTTTTGTTGCCATGTGGCCGGGACAGAAATGCCACACGTGGACGCGTCAGCTCCCAGCCCCTTGAGACCTCCGCGTGGGGCCTGTGCTCCCCATCCGGACTTCCTCCTGGCCAAGTCAGCTCCTTGTAGGTCTCCACATCATTGGCCGACAGGGTTCAGGTTGGGCTAGGAGGTGGACGGGGCGGCGGCGCTGTATGTGCCCCAAGGGAGGAGCGGCCTTCCTCACTGGGCGCTCCAAGTGCACCCAGGAGCCTGTCTGTGTCCTCAACGGTGTGGGACTGGCTGGGAGCCCGCCTGCGCTTAGAGGGTGCGGTGTCCCCGAGCCAGGTTGGTTTTGTTTGGGCTTTTGATCTTGAAGGAGCCCTATCTGACATGAGATAACTGAGTTCTACTTGATACGTGCTTGATACGTGCTCATGATAGAAAGGGGGGACCAGGTACGGCCCGCATCCCTGCCCTGCTGGGATCCGCAGCCCCCGCGAGGGTTGTGCCCGCGTGGCATGTTTGCACGCCGTCCTGACCCCAGCCCAGCGGCTGATGGGAACCGTGTGGAGTGGCGTGTCAGTGTCGTTAGGCTATGTGTGCCTGAAGGGTCCTCTGGAAAGGGGAGGCGTGAGGGGAGCTCAGCTGGAGAGTTGAGAGCCCCCAGGGGCGCACTGCAGAAAGACCTGGTGGACGACTTCCAAAATACCGGCTGCGGAGACCCCTGCAGAGGCCACTTCTCAGGAGTCGAGGTTGACCCAACGGCAGGGTTGGTCTCAAGGTGTTGAGTAGCAAGCAGGTGCACGGGGTGCAGGCGGCGTCTCAGCTCCTCCCCCAGGTACACAGCCGTGAGCTCTCCAACGGACAGCAGATTGCAATCAGTCAGCATCCCCTCGGAGAAGTTTCTAGGTAAAAGTTGTTGATTTGCAAAGAGAGAAACAGATTTTTTTCAAGCCCAGGAAACGGCTGTGTGGGTGTCAGTGATTGGGGTGAGCAGAGCGGGGCAGGAGCCCTGGGGTCCTGCCGGGCCCCACCCTCACCACTTCCTGAACGCGGCCTGCGCCGTGGTTTCCGCAGCACTCGTGGCACCAGCTCCAGTGCCTTCACCGCTAACCAGCCCGTCACCTTTAACCTCTCCCCAATTTCATGATCCCTCCAGGACTCCCAGCAACCTTTTCACCTCCAAATGGAGCCGCCCGCCCTTGGGGCCTTCCTGCCCCGTCCCCCTTTCTGTCCCTGTCAGGGGACTGTAAGGGAGCAGTGAAAAGCAACACAAGTGCCCTCCGTGTGGAGACTCCACTCCGGGCAGCTCGGTGCCCTCCCACCCTCGGCAGACGATGCCACTGGTCACCAGCCGCAGCGGGTGACGTGGCCAGCACGCACAGCTCCGGGCGTCGTGGCCAGCCCCCACCTCCCTCGCAGCCCCGTGTGTGGCATGGCCTCACTGCTCGCTGGCATCCCCAGCTCTGAGGTGCGGTTAGCACCCTGCCCTGCAGCTCACGACGGCAATTCCGTTCCCACGGTGATCTCAGAGATAGCCGCTGGCTACGGTGGCACGGGCTGGTGTGAAGTGACTCTCAGCTCCTGGCATTTGGGAGACCTGCCCTTGTATAGGGCTGTCCCGCTATTCATGGGTTAAAGGAATGGAAGAGACCCCCCACCCCCTACTTTTGGTCCTCACACTGAGTGCCTGCAGGCACCCTGCTCCTTGAGGTTCATAAAAAGCCACATTTGCCTGGCTCGGAGCATACCCTCTTGCACCCAAAACTCGGGGGATTGGGGACAGCGGCTTGGTCTGGGCCAGAGGAATAGACTTGACAGGTACTAGGGGAGCCTGGATCCCTCATTTGAGCTGGTGGGAGCTGCCACCCTGCCTGGGATGGTATGTGGGTGTGTGGGGGAAGGTGTCCCCTGTACAGCTGGGTGCAGGGGCTGCTCATCAGGACTTAGGCTGCCGTCCCACCAGGTGCAGGTGGTTCTGGTCGAAGGTGGATACCGAGGCAGTTTGGGATCACCCTATAGAGCAGGGAGCCCCACCCCACCCAAGGCACGTGCCCAAGATTCCCGAGGGCACTCTTCCCGCCACAGTGGCCACCCCGCTCATGTGTGTGCCCTCCCAGCAGCACACAGCCTCAGAGCCTCCTGTCGTGCTGCGTGTGGGTGCGGGCCCTCCTGCTGTGGTTTGTGTGGCACGTGTCTGGGCCCACAAGGGTGCCGGGGGAGGCGCAGGGCTCCCCCACCTGTCATCATAGTGATAGCATCTCCCACTCCCCCAGGCAGACAGGTTTGCACCCCAGCCCCTCAGGAGAGCCCTCCCCGCCCCCACACCCCAAGGCAGGAGCCAGCAAGCCCGCCCCCAGCAAGTGCCGGAGGGGCCACCAGAGAAGGAAGGAGACTTATGTCTCCAGGGCGGCAGCAGGTGGGCCCGTGGGGCCCAGGAGACAGATTCGTCAGTTGCAGGGGTCCTCCCTGCGCCTGCTGGGTGTCACTTTGCTCTGCAGGCGCCGGTGCTGGCACCCTGGAAGATGGCAGGCTCTCATTCTCCAGATGCCACTGCCTTTTGGAGGATTGGAAGGAATGAGGCTACTTTAAACTCCCCAATTTCCTTCTCTCTCTTTCACTGGGGGG